AACAAAAAAAAAAAAAAAAACAAAAAAAAAAAAAAAAAAAACAAACCAAAAAACCCCAAACAGCAAAACATGGAGGTAGTGAACTTACAGGCTGTTGTTTTAGTAAGATATGGCTGATCCAGGTTTTTGAAAACAGTCTTTAAACTATATATGCCAGAAAAGATTAATGCAGACAAAATGCAATCTCCTCCCATACATTGTATATGAGTAGATAAAAAACAAGGAGGTCAATTTTCTGTCAGCGACCAAAAGTTTTTTTTAATCTTTGGCTTGCAGTACGTAAATGAACATTCACGTGATAAGACCAGAACTACTTACCTGTCTAAATAGTTAACAATATTGGGGTTCTTATTTTCCCTCATGACCAGGATTTCATTAATAATTAGTTCCTTTTTGGGCTGTTGTTGGAGATTCATTTGCTTTATGGCCACCTAAAATGACATTGAAAACCATTAACTTGAGTGGTCTGTTGCATGAGTTCAGAATGAACACGGAGTGAGTGTTTTTGGAATGACGTAGCAGAGCTGTGCCAAACTGTCTTGTTATTAGACATAAGAGCTCCGTAACTTACATTACAACACCCTATTTCTCTGCTAGCTTGGGTGCTAGTTACAGGACACATGGCCATATATATTTTGCCTTGTAAAATCTGTAAAAATGGTCTTTAAACTATCAACCACAAATCTCTAACACTCTCTGGACCTACATTCTTCTCAAATGGCCTTAGTTTATCACCACTATTATTATTCATGCACGTTTTGCAAGCAGGAAATGATTTTGTTACTGTGAAAATATATAAAAACAGCTGGTAATACTTCAGCACTTATTTGATTTTTGATCATTATTTCAGCAACTGCCATTATTCTTAACTTGACTGCATAACTGAAAGAAAACACGTATGTTACATATAAAATGCCATACTAAAAAGATCATAAAGGTTACACAATAAAAAAAATACAATCCTAGCACTTCCTAACGTCTTGAATTTGATTTTGGAACTCTAAATAACATTCTTTAACACAGTCTAGATTTGCAGTTATTTTCTGGGTTTAAAAAAAGTAATCCATGTTATGGTATTTTACGGATACACCCAGGGTTATAAGCAGGGCTTAGAGCTTTTAGATAGAGGTCTACAAGGGATCTAAGAGCAGTTATAAAGTGCAGCACTGCAGGTGGGTGAGAAACTACCAGTAAGATTCAGATGTATTTGCTGACAGCCAGAAATGATAAATCAGAAATCTTAAGCTGTAGCCCCAAAGAGCAACGGGATTCTCTAAGACGCCACCTTGTCTGTTTATTACTAAT